ATGAGCCTTGGCAGCTGCAACGTCTTGCAAACTTCCAAAAAATCTGCACTAATGGCGCAGCAGCACGTCGGCTCATACCTGCAACATCTTCTAAACTTGAGGACTCTCGCCCCCGGTATCCAGCAAATGAAGAGATTTCGTCAGGGAGCCTTGCGTCAAGTGAGGCCTTGAGCCTTGCTAAGCCCGAGCTTAGAAAATCTATCTCTGTACAGCTGTCTGTCAACACAGAGCCCTACCTACAGGGTTTTGAGCCAGAACGCGACCCTTCGCCAAGTTCACCTCAAAGAGTTGCACCTGTTAGCTGTGGCTATGGAGGTCTCTCGGAAAATAGCTTTAAGATTCTCCTCATAAGTTCAGTCACCCGTCCTCTCGGTCTCTCTCGCGCTCCCGCTTGCAGGCCAAGGAAATGTGCAGCTGTGACGCCGCCACGAAGGCCAATGTCGCGCGGCTGAGGGGCACCGTTAGCGTCGAGGGGACACAGGCCTCGAAGCTTGTGGAAGGAGGGATACCCGTGTGCCCCTCAACCCTAACCTCTGCACACACGAAGCCTAAAGCCGAACTCTCTTTCAACCCCAAAAGAAACCCTGAACCCCAAAGCCTGAACCCTAAACCCTAAATGACCTGAACTTAAAGTTAAACGCCAAGCTGCATGGTTCATCAAGGACGGCACAGCCCACAGCCCAGAGACTGCGGCCCCCGGCTCTTCATCGTTAGGCCTCCTCAGCACAAATTTGACCCTTAGGGATCCCTTTAGGGTTTAGGGCTTTTGGTGTAGGGTTTCATGGCCCGAAATTTGGCATCGCGAATTATACGGGACACCCCGTCTCTGTTACGTGCGACCGCGGTAGGAAACTAAAAGAAGGCCGAGGTACAGAAGCTCTTTCGCCCGACCGGGATCCGTGGCGCTTGCGGCATGAAACTTGTCCGCCTGCAGGTCTCCGAGCTTGAACTCTAAACCCCTTGGATTTCGGGCTTTGGAGTTTTCGGCAAGGCAGTCTACTATATGTCATGTCGAATTCGTGATGAGTAGGTATGTATGTATGCATGTGTAGATATACATACATATGTATATTGCACACATGAGCATGAACTGCAGAAGGCGGCGGTTCTCAAGAAGATCATCTGGCAATCAAGCCCAGCTCTTATCGCAGCCGCTATAACGGCTTTATGAACCAGAAGCACCATACACAGTAAGAGCGGCAAAACTGACAATTAATCACAGCAGCCGCAAGATTGTTATTTAGTACTAAGTGGCTCTCTCCGCGAATGCCGTAAATTTTATCGTACGATTGCAACCACAAGGACAGCAATAGCAACACCAACACTGGCTTTAGTAGAGATGATAACAATCCTGCCACCTCATGTGCATGGCCCCGGGATGGCATTCGTGCACCTGGAAGCCATTGAGGGCCAGGATCTTGTAGATGCGATCTGGATGTAAACGATCCTGAAGACCTCCTGATGAGGGTTTAGGGTTTAGGGTTGGACTCTGGTTCAAGGACGGCTCATACACCCGGACTGTGCTTACCACCTAATCTTTAAAGACGTTTGGGGGTTCCGCTTCTTCATATCTCCTGTAAGTTCTCCGACGGTGAACACGTGATGCCAAGCACGCTTTGCTTCTCAATTCCCAATGCAATCTGTTTGTCATACTTGTAGTGCTACAATGTTCCCACAAACCGTATTCGAACCTTCTAAGTACGTACTAGCACCCACCTCGAAACTTCAGAAGCGCTTTGGGTGCCAGCAAAGGAGTCGGAATGAATTAGGTACTAACATAATCCTAGCACAGGGATGATATGGTAACTGAGTTACGCAGTATTCACTGCCCTATCGCTACAACGATTCAGTTTAGAGTTCAGTTTCACTGGGAAGATTTAAGGAGAGCTGCAATCAGAGCTCTCCTGGTGCTGGCTCTTCATCACGGCCAGGGCGGTACAGATCCAAAGAGGGCAGAAGGTGTCCTAGCGAGGCTGGGGGTGTGCATGGAACGTCATCTAAACCGATACAGGGCCAGGAAGTCGACACTGCATCGCGAACATGAGCTTTTGAATGGGACCCTTTGTGCATCTAGGCGAGCCCACAACACGAATCTGAAAATCATCACATAGCTGACATAGGTGACGAACAACACCTCCGAGCGGCCAGGAATTCAGTCCACAAACCTGTAAAACCGTCCGACACGTCAAGCTGCTGAAGCCTTCGATATCTCAGAACTCATGCCGTTCCAGTGATTTGATACACCCAAACGCCCAAAATGTCTAGTATCCAAGCCGCCATTGGTTCCATCGAACAAGGAGTAGAACTGCTGCTTCTTTCGAGGTGTCGCCTGCGCGTGGTGGGTTCTTTTTCTTCTGAGCGGGTATTTTGACTACTGTTGCAACTGCACTAGTTCTGTACCTACAAAACATGAAAGCTCTCAGCGACACCAAAAGTCGGCATATGGCCTACGCGAACCGTGGCAGAACATACTGCTGGCAGTGCGGCTTGGACAAAGAGTGACAAAGACCTACAACTGCTGTGCTGAAGCATCAAACACAAGTAGACGGCGCACATCAAGAAAAAGCTACGGAGCTACGCCACATCGTCCAAGCGCATGGCAGCATATCGAAATTTGTTCTGGTGGCGCTGCTGCCTCCAGGATCCAGCTAACAGCCAATTGCCTCAAGGTAAATGCGCGGCCGTCAGTGAAAGTTTCGTACCACGCTCGCACCTACAAAGCTGTCTCATGGATGACGAAAGACAACTGCCCGACATCAGTCTCGTCGAAGCCGGTTCAGGATTCAAGGGCTCAGGGCTGAACTGGTCTGCACGGACATGTGAGTCCAAATCTCATGTCTTCGTGCACCAGTCTGTTGCAGGGCTCAGCGGATATGGGACAGCCAACAAAGCACCGTACGTCTTTCGCGCTTCTACAGTCCTATGAACAAGCCACCCTGTCTCCCAAATCCAAAGCTTCCGGCCTTCCAAATCTCGCAGCAACCCGGCTCCAAACGCACACGCCAACTATGCAGACAAAGTGCTGTATTTGGTCTGCTGGGGCCAAGAAGAGGGCCCGTGACCTCGATGGCGGCGACTTCGGGTGGTCAGAGGTTGCCTTAAACTTAATCAAAACGCCGTGCTTGGCCCCGGGCACCATCAGGAGTTCTCCGGCCTCCACCGGTCGCGAAGCGACGAGGCCACGCCCTTTGCCGGGCAGCAAGACCTGTTCAGCGGCAGTGTGTCGGCTCTGACGTGGGCATACACGCAGCTCATTATTCTCTACGAGGCACAGAGGCACGTAGCAGGCATGTTGCACATGCTTCGGGTAAATCTCCGAATTGAATCGGGCGCCAGCTCCAGGCTTTCTAGCACACAAGCCCTCTCGGAGTCAATCAACTGCCCTTACAAGTTCGACTCCGACATGCAGACCACCATGTGGGTAAGGCACGGACAAGCTGCAAGGCATCCGAATACCTGTCACGTTTGTCGTGAGGGCCTGGTGATCCGTCGAGCATTAGGGACAGTATCAGTATCAGCACAGGTGACACTCCAATGAAGATCACTACTGCTGTTGCTATGACTATGCATATGACTCTGACCATACTATGTGACTGTGACTGGGACTATGACTGCTGCTACTCCTACACTGCTAATACTACGTCTGCCACTGCTACCAAAAATACACTAGCAGCCACCAGCAGCAGCAACAGCAGCACCACCACCACCAGCAGCGGCAACAGCAACAGCAACTGCAACTGCCAAAAGCCAACAACCAACATTCAACAACCAACTTTCACCAAACACCAGACAACAAACACCAACCACCAACCGCCAAGACCACGACCAAGAACAAGACCAAGACCAAGACTAACTAACTAACTAACTAACTAACTAACTAACTAACTAACCAACTAACTAACTAACTAACTAAAACAACAACAACAGCAACAACAACAACAACAACAACACCAACAACACCAACAACACCAACAGCACCACCACCACCACCACCACCACCACCACCACCACCACCAACAACAACAACAACAACCACAACGACAACGACAACGACAACGATGACGACGACGACGACGACGACGACGACGACGACGACGACGACGACGACGACCACAACAACAACAACAACACCAGCAACAGTGGCAGCAACATCAACAGCAGCAACAACAACCACACCAACAGCAGCAACAACAGCATCAGCAGCAACAACAACAACAATAACCATAACAACAGCAACAGCAACAGCAACAGCAACAACAGCAACAACAACAACAACAACAACAACAACAACAGCAACAGCAACAGCAACAGCAGCAACATCACCAACAACAGCAGCAACAACAACAACAACAACAACACCAACAACCACAACACCACCACCACCACCACCACCGCCGCCACCACCACCACCACCACCACCACCACCAACACCACCACCACCACCACCACCACCACCAACAACAATAACAACAACAACAGCAACATAACAACAATAGTGATAATCACAATTCAGAAGAATACGAATAACAACCACCACAACCAGAGCCAGAGCCACAATCACAACCACAACCGTAACCACAACAGCAACAGCGGCGGCAGCAGCAACAGCAACAACAACTGCAGCACACATGTCACGACCAGCAATCACAAACACGGCAGCAAGATCAGCAACATCATCACCAACAGCAACAGCATTGACAACGGTATCAGCTTGAACGACAGCAACAGCAACAGCATCAACAGACAGCATCAGCAGCAGCACTAGCAGCAACCACAGCAACAGCAACGACGTCAACCGACACCAACATCAATCTCAACAGCAGCAACAGCAACAACATCGAAAGCAACAGGAGCAACAGCTGCATCGTCATCATCATCAACCTCAACAGCAGCAGCAATAATATGTTGTTCGCCAAGGGTTCTACGATTGCAGTAGTTACCCGCCCTCAATATACAGGTCTTGAGTGCTTACGCGGAATCTTTTTGTTTGATCAGCCAAGGAGAAGAATCCTTTCCACCAGATTCCGACATACGAGGGGTCGGATGGATTCTGCATCGGGGAGGGCAACGCGATCATGCGCTACATCGCTTCGAACTACGCACCTGGGTTCATGTTAACCGACGGAGCTCCTTTTCACAAACATACTTTGGAATGAGTGAAGTCACTTTCCATGTAACTTCAGATGTTGATCGGACTGGTGTTTGCTGACAAGTGAGATGGTGGAGGCACAGGATGCGGAGCAGACGGCAAATCGAGACTCAAACTATCAAGCCCGCTTGCTTTGTCCGAAAACGTTGCATGCACCCAGTATAGACTCAGGCACCGCAGTACTACCCTGGAGACGCAGAGAACCGTGCCAAGATCGACATGGCCATGGATCTGTTCAGCACGGGCGTGTACCAGAATCTGGCTTGAACTATGGTCTAGGGTTTGTGATTTATAGGGTTTAGGGTTCAGGATTTAGTTGGGGGTTTAGGTCTTATAGGGTTCGTTGAAGGCTTCTGCTAACTTTGTGCCTCAACAGCCGCGGCCGTACTCCTTGCTGTGGTGCTTTGTTCTTTTTGTAAGCCTCCTAGATATGAACTCTGTAGCAACACTCGCCACTTGTCAGCATGACTTAGCCCTCCCCTCCCCGAAAAATTCCAATATCACCCGCCCTAAAGCCTAAATCCTAAACCGCCGTCCCTAAGGGCCATGAAGCACCGTAGGTCTTAAAGCTTTGGGGTTTAGGGTTCAGGGCTCCCAGCCTGCAGATCCAGGAAGGTGGCGGTCTCCGTCGTCTACCCGGTGACTGGGTCACTGCTTGGGATCCGCTTTCTCTCGGCCAGGGATCTTTTGGGGTCTGTGGGTTCACTAGGCTATGCCGAGCTTCTACACCCTTTCTCGAGCCTAAAGCCCTGCATCCACAGCCCTGAAAGCCCGAAGCAGTACACTTGAACTTAAGCTAAACCTCCAACTTTGTTGAGGGCTTAAAGCCTAAAAAGGACCCTAGACCCTAAACTTCAAACCCTAATCCCTAAACCCTAAACTTCAGACCCTAAACCCTAAACCCTAGGTGATGGGCTTCGGGGCGCCGCCGGCAGACCAGGCCAAGGCGAACAGCACCGCCACCGAGGCCCCCCCGACGAACCCAAGAGATGACCGGTTTAGGGTTCAGGGTTCAGATGGCCGTTGCTGTTTAGGGTGAGCTTGCGGCTGAGGCTTTGAGAGTTTTTTCAGGGTTTCGGGTTTTAGGGTTGTTTGATGGTTTCAGGGCTTTTGGGAAAGCCCTTTCTGTTTCGAGGATTCTTGTGGGCATTATTATAGGGCTTTGTAGGGCTTTGGCGTTAGCATTAGCACCGTGTGTAATTGTTTCGGCTTTCGGGGCTTCGGGTTGAGGGCTTCAGGAATTTGGCGTTTCGGGTTTAGGGTTTCTGGGTTTGTTGGTGGTTTCCGCTTGTGGGATGGTGGAGGAGGCTTTATCCGCTTTCTGGCTTAGCCGAACTTCAGACTCAGAGGCAGAGAACTTTTAAGTTTAAGTTTAGGCTTGCAGGCGCTTTGTGGCAGTGTAACAAGTACGACGCACTAAACAGTGAAGGCTAAAATGCCTAGGCCTGAACCCCTTCACCCCTTATAAACGCCAAACCAAGCCGGAATCCTTTCGCGAGGCCCGTAACCCTAAACCCTAAACCCTAAACCGTAAACCCTAAACCCCATGGCCCGACTCGACTCTGTGGAAGCTCGCCTGGCAGATGTGAGAGCGCAATACAGGGGCATAAATAATTACCAATACTATTGGGGGGGGTTCCTTATTATGATTATAGGATAATGGGCCCCAAAATCCTATTCTAATTCTTAAGGCCTCTATATTCAAGCCTACGGCCCCAAGTTTTCGCGAGGCCCTCGGTATGGTGGAGAAGACATTCTTCAAGACTGGCAAGTTCCTTGTGGGTTCGCAGCCGACCATTGCTGACTTCAAGGCGATCGGGTCGGGTGAAGTTAGGGTTTAGGGTTCAGGGTTTAGGGGTATGGCTCCGCAGTAAAGCTGCTAGGGCTGCTTGCTCCAACTCCGGGCGAAGTGGAAAGCCTGTTGCAAAAGGGTATCGGCTTAGGGTGTGATGTTTTGTGCAGAATAGAGGGTTAATGTATTATGGCTCGGGGAAACATCCACAGACTTGGTCAGCAGCTAACGAAGTTACAAGCCTGGTCTTGATGTACCACCTTGTAAAGGTCGTTTACGCTTCATGCACACGGTGCATTGGTGAGTTGAACCTAGACCCTAAACCAGAGGCCGTTGTTTTTAGCCGCTGGCTCAGGAGCCCCAAAAGACTTGAACATTTCCTTCGCACTTGATTTACCAGTCTAGTCCTCATCCAATTATGCAGGGATGTATCCCGCTGTGCCCATCATGGAGGCTCAGAAGGCTGCAAAAAAATCGACAAATGCTGTCTTCCTTCGAGGACCCCTCTCTCCCAGAAGGGCAGGTTCTTAAACTGTCTGTGTGCAAGCAAGTGTATCTGCGCACAGATGGAAAAACGGGAGGGTGAGACAGAGAGAGAGAGAGAGAGAGAGAGAGAGAGAGTGAGAGAGAGCGAGAGAGAGAGAGAGAGAGAGAGAGAGAGAGAGCGAGAGGGAGAGGGAGAGGGAGAGGGAGACAGAGAGGGAGATCTAGACTAGATTTCCCAAAAGCGACCGTCTTCGAACTCCCAGGCAGGTTCTTCCCGTTTACCGGACTTTGCCCTCGAGGATGCTGGTGAGTTTGTACTGGCGGGGAGGAGGGAGGGAGGAAGGGGGCGGAGGGCCAGAGTTGACGAGCGCTTTGGGTTCCCAGAAGTCGTCCGAATGCTCCGTTTTCTCTTAGGCTACATCTTTTTTACCCCACCCCCTCCACTAAAAAAGGTCAGAAGCTAAGCCTGGACGACCCTGCGTTTCATATTTATTAGTATGGTTCTCTACTCAGATCTGCCGTGTCTTTGCCGTTCCGCACCCTTGGGCTTCAATTCTTTCGCGTCTATAGGCCAGCCCGAAGTGGGGCGGTGTGTTATACTTTCTGTCGGTGTAACAATGTTTCATGCAATACGCATACATGTGTGGATCCCGTAGGCTGGAGGCACTAACACTGCTTTATATTCAAGCCACCATGGTAACCCCCTCGCCCCTCCGACCCGAAAACTTCTACACAGACTACGATCGAAGGCTCTGCCCTTCCTCTACGCAGCCAACCAACCTGCCGTCAAGAAGAAGACCGGCTTCACCTTGCCTCCTCGTTCCGCGACCTATGAGTTGGCCCTTGAGGTTCTGAATCTGCCGCACTGCGGGGCAGGATGCATCGTTACATGTGCATCTACTCATGTTCTTTATGTACGTATGCATGCATGCATACATGTATAAACACGGTGTTTGTTGTTCTGATACGTACATTGGGACCTGGGAGTTTCAGCAAAGAGTTGGGCCCTAGCTCAGCTTCAAGTGAGGGATCTTGGGTTTTTACGATCCACGGTTGGACACCCAAGAGTGGAACAGGAAGATCGACGTAACGGCTTGAATGCTAAGACTCTGCAAGTACTGCGGACGGGCACACTCCCGCAGCATTCATTATCAATTATCCTCAGGTGCTGCCAGGCTCTTTGCATCAAAGCCTGCAAAAGCCCTTCCACCCGTTACAGAAGCACATTCTCGGACCTACGTACATCATTCTGACCCATAAGCCATAAGCGGCAGCACCCACAGTACAATAGCCTAAACCCTAAACTCTAAGCCCGCAACCCTAGGCCCTAAACTCTAAACTCTGAACCCTATAAACCGTAAACCCTAAAGCTTCACAGGTCTCCGGCTTTGGGTTTGGGGTATCAGAGGTTGCAGGGCTTCGGGTGCAGGGTCGACGGGTTGAGAGCTTCTGTCTTTTCGGGATTGAAAGGCTAAAATCGAAAAATAGGGCCTTGTTTAGGGCTTGCGGGTTTGGGTTTAAGGTTTAGGGTTTAGGAGTGTGTGTTTGGCTAGACCGGGCTGCTGGGCAACCAGGCCTGTTGCAACAAGGATTTAGGGTTTAGGGTTGCTCCAACAATCAGTTGCAAGTCACAGCAATTTCCTGACTTTTCCCGGCCGACTCTCCAAGCCCGGATGCAAAAAAATGGTTTTTTTTCGGTTGAGGGTTCTGTGGGGTTTTGCATGGCAAGCACCCTTGGTCAGATGCACGGTCTGGCTCTGAACACCACGGAGTTGCTGGAGTCAGTTTCTCTCGCTCCCTCTAAGACTCTAAGACTCTATTTCAAGGCTTCGTGACGTATGTCAACGATTGCGTGGAAGCTTTCAGCAGCTCTGAAGGCATTAGCTGAATCTGTTTTCTTTGTTTTCTCAATGTCCGACAATTCTCATTCTAAGTTCCGGTGCTTTTGAATCGTCTCGAGCTGCTGTCAAGCATGCGGCTGTCTGTGGTGTGTTGGGACTGTTGCTGCTGCGACCCTAAACCGAAGCCCTAAAACTGACATGGTAAGGGAATTAGCATTCGTTCTCCTGCATTAGCTCGATTAGCCTTCTATTGTCTTCTGCTGTCTTGGGTAGCTCTGAAGGGAATGGCGCACAAGGCTCTTTCTGATCGAATTCAGTGCCTAGGGTTCAGGATTCAGGGTTTTGGGATTTAGGATTACTTGTAACCCGCACCTGATCTAGAAGTCTGCAACATTAGTGATGCTACCTTGCGGATTCTTATCCTAATGAATTTTGTTATTTCCAAGACGATTCTTACATGTTATTGTTATGATTATGGTATGTTACTGTAATCATAGTTAGTGCAAGATGCCCCGTAACCCAATTCGAAATGTTCAGGCCCCCTCTAGCAGTCATCATCCTATTTGCATCTTTTGTGTCATTGCCCGTCGGGCTTTCGATTGTGGTTGAAGAACCACTAATAAGATTCCTTAAGGTCCTTATTGTGATTGTCGTAGAATCTACCCACAAACCCTAATGCAATTATTAGAGCTGTGTAACGGACTGGGTTTGAGAGCTAATTCTGACTTTAGGTGCTTGTTTCCTCATGCAGCACGGGGGTTACCCTGGGTGTTCTTCGCAGGTTCTTGGTGTGATGTTTCATCTCTGGAGCGGACTGGCTCAGTTTCCCCTATGTACCTAAACCCTGAGCTGTATTCCGACTGTATGGAGGAAAGGGGTCCGTAGAATTTAAAGCTAAACCTTTGCCCGGTGTGTTCAACACATGTCTGGTTTAGTTTCTGCCAACATGTCCTGAGCTTCTTTTCCTGCGAATGTGTTCACTGCATCCGGTTATCAGCGTCCTGTATCCTTGTTAGGAGAACAGCAACACTGCAAGGTAACTTCCATATCACGATCCTAGCAAACCTCGAAACCTTCGAAGTATGCATCAAAAACGCCTTCAATCGCTGAGCAAGGCAAGAGCAACAGCTTGCTTTCATCAGCCGGTGGATTTTCCCTCAAGGAGTACCTCGCCACGAAGGAGTGAGGCGGAGACAGAGCACTCAGAGAAGAAGCGGCGGGAAGGAACAATGCAGTAAAGCAAGCTCAAGGTAACATTTCTATACCAAAAGGCAGCAAGGCTGCAGAGATCTATGTTTATTTCCTCCCCGCGCCGCTCCTCCAAAGAAAGTCTCTGATCGTCCTGATGGGAGCCCACAGGAGAAGAAGCACTTCGACTTCCATGTGCATGGTTTAAGGTTTAGGGTGTGAAGGCCGCTACAAGCGGTCTACGAAGCAAACTCCGGAGGAATTTGTGCTCATGTGGGCTCCTTATCCGAGGGGTACTTATCTGTGGGTCCTGTTGCTCTGGGTGAGCTAGGGGGGGAAATGTGGACTTCGGAGGCATTCCGAGCCCACAGGGCCGTGCCTAGGGCACAGCTCTAGAGTTCCCTGTGCACAGGGTTTAGTGGTTTAGGGTTTCGGGGTTAGGAGCATAAGCCAGACACCTTGAGAATGCCCTGGCACGCCCTCCTCACTCGGAGCTGCAGTAAAACCCCAGGTTCTGCCTTGTCTCCTTAGGCGGGCATACACTTCTCAAGAGTCTGGCGAAGACCGGACAGACTGCCTGGCATCGCAAGACGCTGAAGAAAAGATAGAAAAGGCTAGGGTCTAGAGTTCATGTGGCCGTTCCATTAAATTACTGTACCGCAAGCCTTGGTGGCCCGAATTAAGCTTTCCAAAACCCCTATCGCCGCCTCTTGTGAATCATTCCCGAATGCCCCAGTCCAAATGTCCAGGTTCAACAACCTAGGCCCTAGGCCCAACCCCCTACACCCTGCACGCCAAAGCACCGAAGCCATACTATCCGAAACGCTCCGGCGGGAAAAAGTCTGAAAAGGTGAAAAACAAACCCTGAACCCAGCCCCATGTTGGCACTTTCATGTGCCAAGAAGCCGAATCCAACCACTCCGTAGGTCGGGGCATGTCGCATCTAGGTTTGTGCTTTCCATAGCACCCGGGAAGCCATGTTACAAGTAGTAGGTCACCGCTCCCTAAACGAAACCAGATCAACTCTGAACCGTCAACCCTCTTAGATAGCCAACAGGAGAACTTTAAACTTTTTGGCCGTATCTATCAGGTCTATCCTAAAAAGTTTGAACTTGTTTGGGCCTGGTTGTTGAGGAAGAGAGCCCCACACATCACGGAATAGCACCGTCACTTGTCGCAAAAAGCAGTGAGAACGTATAAACTTAATGGGGCATTAAAAATTACCCGGGGTTCCTTATTATAGTTATAGCATGTTAAAACCCTAGTCTACTTATTACGGCCCCTATACTTTGGCCGAGGAACTTGCTGGAAAAAACTCAGACCGCAAATCTCGCAAAAGTCAGCTCCGTGAGCTTAGCCTGAAGCGGGCCTTAGCCTGACGGTTTGGGGTTCAGGGTTTCGGGCTCCATATGTAACCTATAGGGACTAATAGAATGCCGATCTTGTGTCCCTGATAGTGCAGTTTGCAGTGTCCCCGGGCTCTCCACACGCTTATGCAGCTGTGCGAAAACCTGGCGTGTGCCCACATCAGGTATAAAAATTCACTTGTACGACAGCTCTACAGTTACAGGTACCAATCAGCAAACGCTGCGACGCCTAAACGACGAGGCAACCAAAGCTAAGAAGCCCAGGCTGCTCTGGTCTAAAGCCCCCCATGCGTCCCGGCTCCAAGGCCCGACGAGAATCAGTTCCGAAACCACAAGCCCTAAATCCCTGAGGCCCGAAGTCCCTAGAAAGACTTATAAGGTCTTAAACGCAAAGCCCAGAAACTGTTGGAGGATGGGATGTGGAGCTGGTCGACCAGGACTCTATGACCAGGTTCCTGCCTCCCTTAGCCTTGGCCTGTTGCTCAATGCTTGCAGCATTTGAGATGTGTGCGTGTGTGTGTGTGTCTTATGCATTATTGATGTATTTTTGCAGGTGTATGTATGTATGCATGCATACACGTTAGACATAGTTAATTGCTCACGCGGGTACATGCATACGAAGTTTGTTCACGTTTATGCCCGCCCTCGCATGCCTGCATGCATGAATATGTGCAGAGATGTATGTCTACAGGCCAACACACATACACGCGTAACTGCACATACACTTTGACTTTGTTGCGCTGCTTCGTGGACCTGCTTGGCAACACAGCATTCGGGGCGCAAGGTGTTAGCTCTACGTTTTTCACGATTCTTGAAAGCCGGTTGGTATCGTGTTTGCAGCATTGTCGTCCCTTGGCCATGGCATGGGGCACAAACGCAAAGTTTTGGGCTTCAGGAAACATGATAGGACAGGGGAAGGTGGGCTCGGGGTTTACGAATTTGGGCTGTATATAAGGTGTGGGATTTAGGATGTTTGGTTTCCGGTACGGTCGATTCTGGGCAGCAGCGACTTTACTGCTTTAGCAGGCGCTGTTCAGCAGTCCGTTCTTGTAGTTGTAAGTGGAAGGTGAATACATTCAGCCGATCCGTGCGGAGTTCGTTTTTGGAGTCTGAAAGGGGGCATTGGAACCCGATCAATTATCCCGATGCTCACTGCCATTTCTGCCAAGCACCTGGGCTTGACTGGAGGTGAAGCCTTCTCCATTAGCCAGTTGTTCGTGTGCAGACTGCAACTCCCGAATACAGCTGCGGCATTCTAGGGGTGGAAGTGATCTGTCTTGTGCCCTCCGCCAATGAGAAGCAGTTGCCCCTGAAACGACCTCGTCTGATCTCGTGGCACAGTTTTGCAGCATCCGTCTTCTGATCTTCCAACCTTTCACCCTAAACGCCAAGCCGTGCAATATGTGCATCTGCCTCCCGAGACCCGAAGCCCTACTGAACGGACAGCCGTGCAAGATGTTCCGCACAGCCAGCCGATGGCGCGTCAGTGCCTCCATCCTCTCCGCCGCCGGCACCCTGGGGCCCCTGCCGTGGTCCCCGAAGCACAGCCGGGCCGAGGAGGTGAGCTGTGGCAGGGTAGGCTTTGGGGCCGAAGCTTTAGGTTTTTTAGGTTTTTATGTTTAGTGTCTAGTTATTGTTTTTTTATGTTTAGGGTGTAGGGTTTTGAGTTTAAGGTTTTGGGTTTATTTAAAGGCAAAGTCACAAAGGTCGTTGACCACCGGTGATGAACAGTGATTGATGCTGCATCACACTATTGGTACTATTGCTAGAATTAGTATTGCTGGTGTCGCTAGTATTACTATGATTCGTATTGGTATTGTTGCTACTATCAGTTGCCAATCATATGTTGTAAACTACATCAGTACGATATTACACACTAGGAACGAGCTACTCCTGCTTTGCAGCCTCTCATTGATCGATCAAGGGCGAGCTTCGCTTTCTCCCCTAAGCCAACCGTGCAACTTTCCTGCGTTTCCAAAACTCAGGCTATTGCGAGTCCTATTAGTTGTACTACTCATGGTACTTTGGTAGGCATTGTGAGAAAAACGGCTCTTTTCTCAAGCTTGCGACAGTGAATGTCTTGAGCAGGCTTCCACCATGATGACGCTCGTGGAGGTGATGGTGATGTTGCTGATGATGGTGGTGATGATGCCATAATGTGATGTCACTGTGTGGCAGCTTCGTTGCATGCTTGGGGATGCTGACTTTCTCGCGTCTCAGCATGCAAAAACTCCGAGGCATCTCTGTGGGTTGTGGATTTGCAGTTCAGGGCATGGGGCACGCGGTCTAGGTTTTGGGGTTTAAGGTATGCTGTAAGGGCTGCGGGCTCATAGGGCTTGTATAGGTTTCAGGCTTAGGGCAGAAAGGCTTTGGGGCCTACAGGACGTACTGCGAGGGTTGACAGCGTTCAAGCTTAATTGGGTTTAGGTTTTTGGTTTATAGGGCAAACGCTTGAGGTTCATATAGGGTTTGAAGTTAGGGTTTGTGGGTGAGGTGCATCAGAGAAGGTGTCGGGTTTACGGAGTTTTGGGTTTAGGACTGTAGGTTTTGGCTTTCTTTGGCTTGTGGTATACGGGTTAGGACGGATTTAAGGTTGGAAGCTGAACAGCTAGTGGATGCTACTGAACCCTGGCTGTTCGACTGGGCTTATGGGAGGAGGGTAGCACGGTTAGATACATCAGGATACCGGTCGTTCTGCACATGTTTTCGAAGTGACGGCCCGAGATGTACCAGCTTACATGCCCTGTTGAGGTTTCAGAGTTTAAGGTTTAGGGTTCTCAGCATGCCAGGGCTGCTTTCTCCAACTCCGGGCGAAGTGGAAAGCCTGTTGCAAAAGGGCTTCTTAGCATGTGTTCAACTAGCCGGCGAGCATTTGTGCCCTTGGCTCAGGGCTGCTTACCCATAGGCCCTAAAGTAGTTCCTTTTGGGGGGTTCATATATAGCATCCTATAAGGTAATCCCAAAAAGGAACTACTATGGGGCCTATGGATAGGCCTGTGAGGACAAGGTCTTCACCGAGGCGGAGGTCCGCCGGCACAATCGCGAGAAGGACGCGTGGATATCCTTCAATGGCTCTGTGCTGCTTGCTTGAACTCGTAGATTTCCTGCTGCATGTCACGACTGGCTTCTCCTCCCCACGTAGCATTGAAGTCTCAGCCCTCATCCCCAGAATTACCCTAAACTCTTGCCATATAACGCTCGACCCCAATTAATCCCTGCACACCCCTGCGTCCTATGTTCTGTAGGTGAGGTTTGTATACTGCTCGAGTTCTCTGTGCGCAGTGCAAGGCATCATGGCAGAGGTGCACCCAGAGACCTTGCCTGGTAAGTCCGAGTTGTGAGAGCGTAAACCCTGAACTGCATCCTGAATTGCCGGACATCCCAAGATAGATCGAGCAGTTGAGTTGAGAACATTTCTTCTCGCACTCGGCGGAAATAGCCAGAATCACGGTTAGGGGCATTGCCTTTTGCTTTCGGTGTAAGAGTGGTCCTGGTCCTTGGGTCGAAGCAGATAACACCCAGATTCCGTAGACCCTTCGTGAACCTAAACCGACAGAACCTCCAGGCAACTAGTAGACGGCCGTGAAACGGAGCCGCGCAACTCTCGCGCCAAAGTTGATCAGGACACGGAAAAAAGAGATCCAACCAACAAGCAGACGAGCCACATGCTCTTAAGGTAATGTATAGGGGATCGCAGCACTGATCCTCCTAAACCCATGTTCCAACTTTCTGGGGTTCACTGTAAACCTTAAACAACTCAAAAACCTTGACTCTAAGACGTCGTAAACCTCGACTCAGCTGCTACTACTACTACTACTACTACTACTACCACTACCACTACCACTACCACTACCACTACCACTACGACTACGACTACGACTACTGCCGCTACTACTACTACTACTACTACTACGACTACGACTACGACTACGACTACGACTACGACTACGACTACGACTACGACTACGACTACGACTACGACTACGACTGCTACTACCACTACTACTACT